AAAGGCAACAATTAAGTTTCTGCGGTATAAACCATAGGCAGTTGAGCTTCAGGCTTGCTAGGCACACTTGAGACTATGAGGTATTGCCCACTTTGGATAGAAAAGTTAAAGCAAAACACAAAATCTGCACACTACTTTATCTGAGTTGAATTGACCTAAATATTTAAAAGCCAAATAATCTTCCTGGAGTCCATTACAACCAGTACAGCTTCTGCTAAGCAAGTGTCAAGGTTCGGAGATAACTGGAACACGCCTGTCAGTGGATCACAGTCTACTGCTGTGACAGTGAATGTCGTCACATCAGCTGCTACAGTAGACCAATAAACAGCCAAGTCTATTCTACTTCTTGTTAATATATAAACTAACATTTTAATTTTCTTCCTAAACCTATTATTGGTGAAACACACTTTAAAAGAATAAGATAAAGGATAATCACTGATGGCACATTCAGTGCTGTCTTTCCTGAGTTATGAAAGCCTTCTGCACGAAAACTGTGAAACGAACCTCTTAAACAGCTTTTGAAGTTATTAACCTTTAGTTAAGTGTTCCAGTTAAGAGTGTGTTTAATGATTAATTAATATATTCAGCACTCAGGAGAAAGAAGTTGACACAGAACACAGGTAGCCTTTGTGTCCTGCTGGACAGAAAGTACTTCAGAAATCCAGCTCCCTCTAAAAGGAAACAGAGATTTGGTTTTCTGAATGTGGGCACTGCAGAGACGAGAGACGGCTCAAAACACTTTCCTTCAGAAATGTTGTTAAATATTCTGTAAATTACCCTCATATGGCACTTCTGAATGTCTCAAGGAAAAGCACTGCAATAGTCTCAGTTTTCCTACAGAATCACAGTAATTTCTAACTCAAAATTCAGTTTGCAATTTATAGTTAGCATAGCACTAAAGTGAGACCAAGCTTAATACCCCAGATAAAAATACTGTCCATAACAGACACAGTAAAGGTGAAGCTGCTTCCCCAACAGCATTTACTACTATAAATGCATACATCAATTTCTTTCTACACGACCCTTTCTTATAGTCCTAAAAACATACTGGAACACTCAGTAAAAGTTTTTAAGTTCAAAGATTTTAAAATATTTGTGTCTATTCATAAACACTCCCAGGTATGTTCAACTTTTTCATCCACGATCAAGAATTTATAAATTCATATTTTTCATTTAGTGTTTCAGAGAAGTATGGCTACAACAAAACTGCCCTTTATGTCCGAAAAAGGATACAAAACATATGTGGCAAAATAAGCCACTAACACTTGAACGTAAAACGTGTCCTTATATTTGGACAGGACTTTTCCCAAGGCCTTTGCATCATCCATATCTCTAGGAATCTTTATACATTCTCTTTCTTCTCTGGAGAGAAAAAAAAAAATCAGGAGTGATGGAAATATAATCAAATAGTACAATTACTGAATATAGACATAATTATACACACTACATCACTAAACTACAGCCTCAGCAAACAAACCATTATTATTGCTGTGATAATGTTCTCAAAGGAACACTTATTACAGTTTGGTTTATATTAGAAAATCCCCAATTTTAGATATTTGCAACCCTTTTTTTTAATTCAGTACAATCATCTGCTTCTTTTCTAGGATTTTTTTTTCTTACCAAGTACTGATCAAAAAGAAATAATTACGCAACCCAAACCTTGGCAACTGAAAGCACTCAACATTTCAGCCAAAACCAAACACAGCCGCCTCAACGCTGGGGTCACAACATGTGAAGTGCAGCAAGAGAGGCAGAACTTCACCTCACAAATAAATAAAGCTTTCAGGGCAAAATCTCACGTCACACCTCAACCCCGGGCAGCACAGTTGAGTGTCTTCACTCCCTCTGTATCAGACTTAAGGATTGAGCTGTTGCAAACTGAACTTGTTGAGCCACTTAATCAGACAGAAAATTAACTACTAAAAGGAAAAGGAAAGTTGTCAGGCAAGCAGGCTTCCATCCTGTCAACCTGCCTACCTTTCCAACACACGTACTTGATGACACAAAAGGAGAAAAAGAGAACATGAAGCTCAGCTAAGAAGGATTTCCCCTTTTGGTGCCAGCCTCCAGTTTTACCAGTGTACAAGGAATTTTAAAGCGAAACCAGCCCTAACCAAGCACAGTCTGGCTCTCAGCTGAAGAAGGTTAAGAACACAGTCAGTTAACACTGCTGATGTGATGGGGGTAACACTTCAAAACACGGTATCACAACTGTGCAACAGAACCCCAGGTCAAGTACAACTCTCTTTACACAGATCCTACTGGTCAGTATCTCAGTATTAAGCTCTGTATCCTGACATTCTAGGTTATAAACTCAAAGTTATTTTAGGTTATGTCTATAATTAACCCATGTGAGTAAAATTCACTTAACCCCATGCAGGTTTTTCTAAAATCTGATACTGAAAATCAAACGCATTAAGAAATTAATATTTCCTGATATACTTACTCACTAAGTTGTGGGAAATTTTTATATACCAGGAACATAAGGAAAGCAGCTGATAAGAATATGGAGACCAAAATAAGAAGTGATGTCCGAGCCGATCCACCTTCTGTGAGAGCTTTCCCTGAAATTAAACATAAAACAAAGTTAGAAAAAACCCCAACACTACCAAAACAAAAGTAGGAAAAGCAATCCTTCACATTTTACAACAGATTTCAAACTTACACTTTAAGGGAATATTAAAAGTAATCCCTCTTCTGGGCATAATCTTCCCACAAATGCTTTCGGTAACATATATAGCTCACATTCCCTGAAAGCTTTCAAACAAATTTGCAGTTCTTACACTGGCAAACATCCCACAGAAGTCAACTTCTATGATCCAAAATTATTTGAGCATCAATTAATAAATACATTTCTAAAGAGAAAAACAGAGCAAAACGACATAAGCCATACGTACTTTTTTCCTTTTCGCCAGAAATCTTCTGCCAAACTAATTAACTAGATTTAACTTGAAGTTAAATTTTCAGTATGTACAATACAACTTTGAAACCTGCTCAATAACAGATTTGCAGGTTTTTTTCCCCTCCAATGAAAGGCTACCAGGCACAGCCACTGGCCAGTTAGATGATACACACTCATCAGGAGGAAACATGTAAACACACGCGCACCAGCCTGTAATATAAAGATTACAGTTCCTGGACTTGGGAATTACCAGAAGAGGACTTCTCTTGGATATGTCTTTATAAATTTTTATTAGCCTTTAAATTCTTGTGTAAGGGAAGCAATGGGAGTACAGTAAGTGACACAATTACATTTTAGGCCTGTATTTTAGATTTTTATTAAAATGACCACATATGTGCAATACGCTGTTTCACACAAATGCAGCTATACACATGAAGAACTTTAAACTGAAAGAAACAGTAAGAACCCTCTGCACACCCACTAGGGTGTGTATGTGTGTGAGTATTAAACCACTCTCTCCTTGGGCACTTTGAGGCTTGCACAGCTTCCCACTGAGAGTCACCTGAACAGCACACCAAGAGCCAAGCCTGTGTTTTCCCTCGCAGACACCACTGGCATGACCACAATGCCAATACACAATACTCAGACGGGTCACGCTGACACCTCACTGTTGTGAAACACAGAAAGAGGATGACGAAACCCACAGAGCCAGCTGGACGAGCTGGCAATTGTATGGGCTTTAAGGTTTTTTAGGTTTGAGGTCAGCACAACCCCGCAGGTGTGCGCTGGGTCAGCCGAGGCCAAAGGCAGCATCCATGAACCAGGTACAACCACAGAATCCCAGAATGGGTCAGGCTGGAAGGGACCACAGTGGTTTACCTGGTCCAACCTCCCTACTCAGGCAGGGTCACCCCGGAGCACATGGCACAGGGTTGCGTCCAGAGAGCTCTTGAGCATCTCCAGCAAGGGAGACTCCACAGTCCCTCTGGGCAGCCTGTTCCAGTGCGCTGCGACCGTGGTCTGACACCACCTTCTCCAAGGAGCAAAATAAATAAATAAATAGATAAATAAATAAGCAACTTAGAAAGCGAAAAAAGGAAAACACAGCCAACTGCGCTTTCTGCCACTTCCACTTCCTGTACTTCAGCCGTGCCGGTTGTGGAATAACACACACACACATACAGACCCACGCGTGTTCCCTCACGCAGGGGAGAAGGCAAAGGAGCTGGTGCCCCATCCCAGCACCCGCGGGGCGGGAGCCGCCTCACCCCACACGCACCGTCCGGGGCCGCGCCCGCCCTCCCGCCCAAGAGCCCGCGCGGGACGGGGCCGGTGCTCGAGCACCGACGGGCACCGAGAGCCAAACCAGGGCCCGGGCCCGTCCCCGTCCCGCTGCCAGGGCGAGGTCACCGCCGCTCCCGCCGCCCCGAGCCCCCGGCACCTTCCAGAAGCTGCCGCTGGTGCCTGGCGCTCTCCGCCGCCTGGCAAGGCCCGCGCTCCGCCGCCCTCCGCTGCGCCATGGCTCCGCGACACCCCGCGGCCCGGCGAGTCAGCGCCGGGGCAGGCCTCGGCGGCACCGGGAGCCGCGGGGAGGAGGAGGCGGGACCGGCCGCACCGAGAGCCGCGGGCAGGAGGAGCAGGAGGAGGAGGGACCGGCCGCTCCTCCTCTCCTCTCCTCACCCCACCGGGTCGCGGCCGCGCTCCCGCCCCCGCCGCCGCACGGCGCATGCGCTTTTCTCGGGGCATTACGGCTCTGCTGTGATATACGGGAGCACGTGTTGGGCTTCACGTCCTTGAAATGCCGTGGCGGCTTAGTGGCGGTAATTACGGTAACTTCCCTTTGTGGGCGTGCCCATGAGGGTATTTACGGTAACGGAGTGCGCTCTGTAGTTATAAATAAGGTGCGGGCGGCCCAGGCGGCACTGAAGTTCCATAAATCAAAGAATCAATTAGGATGGAAAACGCGTCTGAGATCATCGAGTCCAGCCTATGACTGATCACCATCCTGTCAACTGGACTATGGCACTAAGTGCCACGTCCAGTCTTTCCTTAAACACCTCCGGGGATGGTGACTCCACCACCTCCCCTGAGCAGCCCGTTCCAATGTCTCGTCACCCTTTCTGTGAAGAAATTACTCCTGATGTCCAACATAAACTTCCCGTGACACAGCTTGAGGTTATGTCCTCTCACCCTGTCACTAGTTGCCTGGTAGAAGAGGCCGATCCAAATCTGGCTACAGTCTGCTTTCTGGGATTTGAACAGAGCGATAAGGTCTCCCCTCAGCCTCCTTTACTCCAGGCTAAACACCCCCAGCTCCCTCAGCCGCTCCTCGCAGGACTTGTGCTCCAGACCCTTCACCAGCTCTGTTGCCCTCCTCTGGACTCGCTCCAGCGCCGATCGTGCCACAGGGCATCGGGATAGAATCCGTCTGGGAGCTTGTTCTTCCTCGGTAATGTCTTTACATCTGCGAAGGAGCGTTGGAGCTCCCCTCAGAGAGCGGGAAGCGGGAGCCCCTGGGCGGCTCCAGCTCTGGCGCTGGGACAGTGCTGGGCTTTGAGGAAAAGGAATAACCTTGTTTGACTCTCACAGTCAGGCTTTTAGGTTTTCGAGTCGATTTGTTCCTCTCTTTTAAAGAAAGCTTCTTTTCTGTCAAGAAGGAAAACTCCAATAGCCTCAGGATTTTCCTCACGTCGCTTCCTGTCAGTAAGAAGATTTGAAATCCAGCAGAAAAGCCAGAGAGTTGTTTCCCAGTGTTTACAGATTCCTTGGCGTTCAAGCTGAATTTGACCTCGAAGCACCTCTTCCTCGTGCAATCTTCTGGCAGTAGGAGATCCCTGAACCTTCCAACTCCCCAGCCAGCACAGAGTGTTACAGGAGCAGTTCTCCAGGGAGAGCACTGGAACTGTGCGGACAACACACATTGCGTAAGCTTCTGGGCAGACGTGTTGGCTGAGAGAGGCTGTGTCATCCTCTCTTTTCTTTTCCAGCTCTATCTGCTTGTAAATCTCCAGCCCTTCCTCAAATTCTTCTTCTAGAAGGAGCACTCTCATGGGAGAGCTGGACACTCACATTTAACTTCAGCCTCATTTATCTGATACTCCGTCTGCAACTACCTTTATACTGTGACTAAACATCTCTCTTAAAATTTCTCGTACAGGATACAACAGATAAGTAATTTCATAGCAGTAGTATTTACAGATTGTACTCCCTGACATCACAAATCGTTTCAAAGCAGTGAGGAAGATGCAGTTCAGACCTTGGCAGACCTCTTAAAAGCATTGCTTTATTACTACATGTACAAAACCCACTGGTTTTACAGTGCAAGTACCTACAGGAAGTTGATGATTCATTTAAGATCTAAATAGTCTAATATGCTATTACACAAGTACAGCCCCTGCCAAATGCAGTGGGAGGAAATAATCCAAACTATAAAGTGTGATCAGATTCCACATAGGGCTTCAACTCATGAGCAAATTCCATGCGAAGCTTTAATTTACTCAGAATTTCTTATATTTAGAATCAAATTATTTAAATGATTTCATTAAATCATGTAATTTTGTTCTTTTAATATTTGTAATTGATATTTCAGGAATGCTAGTGCCCTGAGAAGCCAGTCAGGTCTATGAACTTGCCACTCTGGGCATTGGTGCCAGATGACAGAATCCTTTGTTTTTTCAAACCCTTTCAGTAGAAAATTGTACATACTAGCAAGATGGGAATTGCTGACACGGTAGAAAATAGCATTTTTCCCCCTATTGTAAATGCACATCATGTCTGTTATCTCTCTTTGATTGTCCCATTGCTTCTGATACTCCAGGTAAAATGGTTCAAACACTGGGATTTCTTTCTTGTCTGGATAACTTCTGACAGAAGAACTAAACTGAAGAACATTGGATATAAAATGTAAATCAAATTACTATGCAGAGAAATGTTCACCAAGTCATCCTGAAATAGAGGGGGAAAGGCACATACTGAAAGATGTAAAACAAAAAAAAGTACCACAGTTTAAAAGGTGTAGATTGTAAATGCTGCAAGGGCTGTCTCTCATTGGGTGTAGTGAATTGTACGGTGGGGCACAAATCCCAAACAAATTGAACAACACAGATTTACTCCATGTTTCCTCTTCCATTTAGGAGAAGGCACATGGCTTACAGATGATTCCCAGGATGCTGACCGTGCAATAAGCTCACAGTGTTAGCACATCTCATTAAAAATAGAGAAGATAACTCTAATCAACTCACTGTTAGAGAGCTCCAGCTCTCTGAATTGCAGCCAGAGTGAAATTTAAGGATTCATTAACTAGATCACTTTAAAGTTGAAAAGTACTGCACAAACTTCATTAGACTAGACCATCAGCAGATCCTTAGAATGTTCTTTGCAGTTCTTGGTTCCCCTTGCTGGGGAGGTACTGCTGCTGGGAATCTGTTGGCTGTTTCACTAAACTTTGAAACTGTCAGTGGTGTTTAGTATCTGCTGACAATTTGAATAGTCCCCTCCAAAGATGTCCACGCCTAACAAATATCAGCTGAACCTCTGCATTCACTCAGGAAAAGAAAAAGGACATGTCTGAGGAATGTTCCTTAGGACTTGCTCTGTAAATAAAATAACTCAGGAGCTCTATTTGAAAGATTAACTTGGATTCATTTACTGGAAAGAAAGCAAAGAATGAAAAGTATCACCGTAGGCCACATCCCTTATGTGTTCAGAAGAGGAAGGGTTTTGGTAACTGAAACTCAGTGAGTAACAAAGAAACTTTTGACACATGGTTGAGATCAGCACTGCCGGAAACAGCTTCACTCCACAGTGTACTGGGAGCGATTGCTGTGGACTGAAAATAGATTTACTCCCATCATGTATGAAGTGTCCCCTTATAACATAAGAAACAACTTAAAACCTCCCCTGTATTTGTGGTCTCTTTCTAAGCCCTTCCTAACAGGGAACACGTGCTGGACAGTGCTTTGTTCAGCAGAGGAATGAGAGAAGTGCTCCAGACTCCAGCTGGAGTTTGCTTTACCAGTGGGAGCAGCACTGTCTGTACTTAGAGCCTGGAGACTGAATAAGGCAAGTGCCCACAAGCTTTATATGAAGCGGGTTTTGGAAAATATACTTTAAGCTTGGAAGATGAGTTCTTTCAAATTATCTGTGAACAAAACAAAAATAAGGCTTTTTTGACCTGCTGGAAAGTAACACAATATATCCACATCTACCAAGGCAGCAGCTAAGTGGTCACCTATATGAAGTCACTTCCTTCTGTGGGTGGTTGGATGTAATGTTTTATTTTTGTCAGATTGAAAAGGTTGTCTTCCCACATCACAAAAACTTGTATTTGCTTCTTTTCTAAATCACGCCTAGATGGACTGATAGAGCTCATGTCACATGGCTGAGTCACTGACATTGCCTGATGAGGCTTTGTAGACTGAGTCATGGCAATTGTCAGCAAGAGGAAGGAGGTAGAGAGATTGAGAGTGATCCTACCCCTGAGAGCTTCTAGCTGAAAATGATAAAAACCAGAAGCATTAATCAGCAAGTAAATCATACATATAATTTCTTGAGTAGAAGTGTAGATTTAGAACCCTTTTCTCCTGCCTTCCTCTATTATTGTCTTATCTCTGACCACCTCAAAGCAAACTGCATTGTTTTAACATTTTTATTTTGTATCAATATGGCAAGAAATGACCCTGTTTCGAGTCCATCACGGCCCAGTGACGGTGCTGAGTCGTCTCTCAGCACAGGTGCTGGGTGTCGCATGCTGAGGTGACAGTGCCTTCCCAAACACAGCAGTAATGCTGGTAACTCCAGAGGACATTGCTTGAAGCAGTTCAGGAGGGAGGGTAGCCAGAGGCCTTGCTCTTGGAGCACGGCTGTGGAATTAATTTAGCTGTGTGGATGCAGCGTTCATATACAAACAAGCTTTAACAGAGTTGTGAGCTTTTGGAAGAGTCAACTTCTCAGTTCTCCTAAGCATGGTTTTGCTGGAGTACGATTAAAAATGCTCAAGCACTGTGTAAACTAAGCTATACCTGTCAGAAATTAAACCTCAAACATCAATTGTCATTCTATCTAAATTCTAATTTAAACCAAATAAACGTGTGTACTTTGCAAGGAAGCGTGTTTGTGTGTTTTACTGAGCTCATACTTTCATTAGTTACAATAAAGAATTTGAGGATGGAAGTGGAGAATAAGCATCTTCACAGAAAACAACTTAGGATGGAATAAAAATGCACTGATTAAAATTAATAGAAAAATGTCACCAAGTGAGATAAATAGAAATAAGCACCTATTTGTAGCTGGATAGCTCCGTTTGTGTGAATGAAGGATTAGAAATTTCTTGGAGCCTGAAAGAGAGTTAATGAAAGCTTTTATTTATGAAAGTCAGTGCTCAAGGACAAAATCTGAAAAAATAATTAAACAGAAAGTGAGAGCAAAACTTGTAAGCATTAAAATTGAGTCTGAGCTCAGGAATATAAGTATTCAGATTTGTTTCTCTCTGGTTTGTTTTTTTTATAGAAGGTATGTTTCTTAACTCCTAATGTTGATTTTATGCACAGTTGTACAGTTTGGGTACATACTGCACATATGTACACAGATTTATGTACAAATGCACATTTTAAATAGTGTGCACCTACTGTCATTACTGCTTTATTAATAAGAAGCACAATAAAATAGATAGCCATAATGTTTGTATTCCAAAAGGTAAAAATAAGAGCAAGATTCTCAGTTCTAATGCAGCTCTTGTTCCTAATTAATAGTTAATAAATCACTTTAAATAGCCAGCTCCATTTTTTTTTTCTTTCCTATTGCATGTGCCAATGGTGTGCATGAAATGGGAAAGAAATTTTTCTGGTTAGTCTGCTTATATCCTGTATTTGACTGCAAAAAGACAGGAATTAAAGGTTATTTTGTTTTCCTGCAATTTAAGAATGAAACAGACACTGTAATAAGCTTATGCCATCCCAGCTAAGGGTCATGAAAGCTCCATCAGGTTCCTTAAATGTAGTTTCAACCTTCAGAGGCCTTTTTTCTGATTTTTTTTTTTCTCCAGTCTTGGAAAGCGCTTTCTCTAAAAAGTCAAAGCTCTTATTAAAAATACTTGTAAAAGAGGAAATTCTCATCACAGTACAGGGAATCTCAGGGAAGCCAAAATATTTCCAAAGCAAGAAAAAATTCCTGGCACCTTATTCTTGCTCAGTCTCTCCTTCAAATCTCTCAGCAGGTACCTTTGGAGCACAGCAGAGCCCACAGAGAACAGAGCAGAGCACAGTCAGGGAGGCCAAATCGGGACAGATAAGAGGAGAGGAGAGTGAGATGTGGAGCTGCAAGGAGAGTCCTTGCTTGACTCAAAACCAAGACTCCAGCCATGCAGCACTTCTCTGCAGCTGAGGTATTTATAAGCTGGGGTTTATCGGTTTTACTACAGTTGTAAATTTCTGTGTAGGGAACACACAGGCCCTTGTTCCGGGTACACCCATTAGCCATGATTCATATTTAATACTAGGGTAGGATTAAATGCAATGATGCAATTTATACCCTGTCTGCAGCTGAGTTTATACTAACATAGCTGAAAATTCAAATATTCCTTCTTAGAAGGGATATGTTCCTTCAAGGATTTCTTATTCATAGCAATGAGGTAGCTGGACATACCTCTTTGCAGGACAAAAGTTCCCAAATCTGTGTTATTCTATGCAAAAAACACTATTTTTAATCTGTTTAAAGACCCATTTTAATTTCTCTCTAGATGCTGTTACAGATTCTGCCTCTACAAATGTGGAATTGAAGTTTCTGCTCAGTTAAACCAAGGCTTAGGATATATATTGGGGTGCTGGCAGAAGTTTCTGTCTGTTGATTCTTGTTCTTGGGCACACAAATTCAAGAGGGAGGTGGTGAATAGCGAAGCTGAGCAGCTTGTTCTGTGCAGTCTCAATCCCATCATTTACTGTCACCTTTCTGTGCGCCATGTCGCTGTTCCTGATATAACCACCTCACAGAATCCACACGGGTGGGCCCATAACGTGCCTTACCTGGAAATCTCAGGGTTCACGTGAAGGTAATGCACAAACACTGTTGCTCTGGAGTGCCAGTTTCAGATCTCCTCCCAGTGCTGAACACATGCTGGGGGGTGTATCTTTGACAGCATCTAATCTGCTGGAGTAATGACAGGAATTAATGCTGCAGAGTGCAATTGAGATTTTTTTTTAACCTGCTTTTTCCACTATCCTCAAAAAGGCCTAAGTGGAACCACCCGCTGGAACTCTGCAGAACCTGAATGTTCTCCTCTTACTGCCAGGTTCTTAAAAGGTACACAAGGGGTCAGATCTTTGTAACTGTCAATTGGTATTTCCTTTCTGCGTTTTGTTTGCTGACTGTAAGTAAGCTAAGCAGGTTGTACTGTCATAAAGAAAGCTTCCTTTTATTCTAATTTGCCCTGATTTGAGGTCCTAACTCTGTCCCCTAATGCTAAGGAAGAAGCTAGAGGAGAAAATGTGTTTATAAAAAAATAACTGAAAGTAATAAGATACAAATAGACACTGGGAAAGGTTAAAAATGAAAACTTGTTGAGATCTGAACAGTTCAGCTTCCACGTTTATTCTACAGCTCTTGGAATGTGGTCTTTACGCAACACACCACTTGGTTACCTGAACTGGGTTTTCAGCAGAAATGTCAACAGTCTCAAGGTATTGCAGAGCTGAGTGGTTACATTACCAGCAACCATTGTTCCTGTCCCCCTCAATCATCCTTTGGTGTTAACTGGTAAATGCATTTGGCTTGGAAAAGGAGGATCAAATCGGCAGTAAAGGTACATAGATCCAAAAACCAGACCAATAAAGCATAAAATTAAACCTTGCTTCAGTGTTAGAAAAGGTTTGCGTGTCCTTTCATTAATTCTCTAAATAACAAAACACCCCTAAGCAATGTTATGGTAGCCACGCCTGGCAAAGGTGAAATTATTAAGACAGTGCTTTTCAGAAATACCGAGTATCCAACTTCTGACCTCAGCCTCTCTGAAATTCAGGCGCGGAATGTCTCAGTGTTGCACTGGGTCATGTGACACTGTGTTCTTAGGGTTTTCTGCTCTGGGAATACACTTCTCTCTTACCTACATAAGTTGGTAAACAATGTTACATCGCACCAGGGGAAGACGGTTCTGCTCTGATGTCAGGAGCAGCCTGTTTCATAAAACACAAGACCTTAGACAACAATCTGGGTAGTGCTACCAGTGACAGGGCACTGGTTTATTCACCCTTCTTCCCTGGGTACGTGTGTGGGATGAGGGAAGAATATCTAGTTAATTGCTCAGTCATATAAATGCAGAGGCTCTTTCTCCTGGTCACAACGGGCCATTGCTCACAGCATTGGTGTCAGCACAACATACAGGGGGATCAAAAAGGGCTGAAAGCAGAGGCAGTGCCCCTGCTCAGGAGAGGAAGTCAGTGTGTCAGAAAGCACTGCAGGTGAACAGTATGGTCAGGCTTATTTCTGCGGTTTTCCACAATTTGCACTGGAAATCTGAATGAAGATTTTCAAAATTAAATGCACCTTACTTTTCAGAATTGATAATTTCCAAAATTGAAATAGCCTGGGCAGAAGTTACTCACAACTGTCACTGAGCTGCTGACTGGTGGCCAGCAGGCAGAGACTGCAGGATGCTTGATCCTTTGCTTTAATTCCAAGTGTAGCTCAGGGATCCCAGAAGATCTGATGAGAGAGATCAGAGTTTCTACTTTGATTTGAAAATTTCTTCTATCTTAGAGGAGGATGAGATGAAAAACCTGGGAGTCTTTGGAAGTGGAAACCAAAGATTTGTGAAAAAGTTGCATGGTAGTTAGATACTTGATTCAGGAAGAAAATGTAGAAGAACAATTCTGGTAGGGAAAGGAAGATGGAGAAGGGTATACAGATAATATGGGAGTGTAAAAGAGGTTGTGGAAGAAAGAAGGATAAGGAAAAGAAGGAAAACTCACTAGTACTTTATTAAAAAAAAAAGGAGGGGCAAGAAAAAGGGCAAAACTTTCAGTGAAAAAGTTTAGAACTTCTAAACATTTCCCATATTGTAAGGAGTTCCTGCAACCTTCAAATAAATTACATGAATCGCATTGGAGGTCAGAATGGAAAAAGTTATTAGGTGGACTTTTTTTCCTGTTACGATGTGTTTCACAACTCACAATTTAAGAATGCATGGTCTGATCAGAATATGGGCAAAAGTCATGCCGTATCTTCTCCTAGATTGCTCTTTCCATGAGATACAAAATGTCTGCACTGAGAGTGCCCAGTGTTTCTCCTGATTTGGCCTTTAAGGTTTAAGTTCTTGCAGAAACTAACCATAATGAGTGAGCCAATAAACAATCCACAAGGCACAAACCTTTCACCCTTGCCATATGCAACAACACCCATAGTTAGTTTTTATGAAATATATTAGTGTCACCTTTAAAACAGTCATCTGTAATGAAAAATAATTGAAATTCAGAGCAACATCATAAGGGTCAAAATGTGTTTCATTGAAACATTTTGGAAAAGCTGCCAGCATTCTGAGAAATTAATTGCTGTATGTGTGTTCCTATGGGAAATTATTAAATTAATTGAAAAAGCTATAAATTGACTGATAGCACTTACTATCATAATAAATGAGCATCATAGAGTCAGTTATTAATCAGATTATAGATTTAATGAGGACAGTCTGATAAGAATAGACTGTTTTCACCTAAGGCAGTTCCGTGAAGGAAGTCTCTTCATTTCAATCTTGAACATTATGCACCCAGTTCTAGACAAGTTTCCTGTCAAACAGCCTGTCTGAATGCAGAAATCCAGATCTGCAAATATCTATGATAAAGAAATTCACACATGTTTTCTACTGCATACAATACATGTTCCTTTTTGCCTGTGGACAGACTACAGGATCAGATTCTTGGCCCAGATCCTGCAACAAAACAGGCTAAAAACAGAAAAGAAGTGTCAGGTGCTTGTGTGAGAGGTTATTAATTAATATGATGTAATTGTTTCTGAATGAGCAGGGCTAACACAGAGAAAATAAAAGGAATCCACAGGAAGTGGTTTTATCAGAACCACAAAAAGCTGTTAAGCCATTATTCTGTAGAAATCCTTATTGTAGCTGAACCAGCATGTTTGCTTTTTTTGTGTGCAGTTACTTACTGGACTGGTGATACAATATCCTGCAAATACTTTAATAAACTTTGACCTTGATTTAGCTGCAGCAATTCATTATTTTATCACGTCAACTCAGCAGAAACATGAATGAAAATTCATTTCACATTCCGAAGCGAAGAATCCTGCTCAGGAAAGGCCAGTAGTGGAACAGCAGGATGCTGGCAAGCAGGAACCAAGGTATGAGGAGCACCCAGAGGAAGCTGACACAGCTCCTCGTTACCCTGAGAACACGATGTTGTCCTGCATTGCATCGTTCACGTGCCTTCGAAGAGTGAAATGAGGGGCAAGTGTTTTCCACCTTGTCACTTTACAAAACACATATATTTCTTTAGCAATTTACACACGGGTCAGAATGACTCCTATGTTCACTCTTCCTCAGCATTATAACTGCTTTTGTTAAATTAGAAAATATTAGTATTTAAAACAATATAACCAAGTAGAAAACATATTAATCCCATTCGTACAGCAATTGTAAGGACTTGCAAAGGGTAAACACTATGAGTCACTTAATAAAAGTGCTAATCAGATAATATCTAAAATGCAAGTAAAGGCAGAAAATTCAAATAATTTGGCCTTATAAAAATGTGTTTTTAATACACTCAAATTCTGATATTTATCTTTGCTTTATCTAGGAAGTCTCCAATTTTTCAACCCTAATTTTGTTATTTTTGACTCTTTTAACATAAGCAGCTACCTCAGATTTATGATCTATGGAGCTATTTCTATTAGCAAAGTAATTTCATGAAGGAGGAAGGTACTTCTATGAAATGTTTTTTACTTTAAAAATATGTATGAAAAGTTATGATTCCCTTAGTGTATCAGGAGTCAAACAGAAAGGCATTTAGTACTTGTAAGTAAACTTTCCAGCTTATTTGCTCCACACAGACTCTATCTCATCTCAGTTTTTCTCTCAGTAAGCTGTGAGCATTTTCCTGCCTTCCCCTTTGATGCCTGGCTTTATTATGCTTCCTCTCCAACAGACAGAGAATTCACCCAGCAACAGTCAGTCTCCTCTCTTTGCAGTGGTACCCAAAAAACACACTTGGCCATGTAGCTCTGATTCTTCATCTGCCCTCTTCTTCTGCTTCTAACACAGTTCTGATCATTTCAGGTATATATTCTGTAAAGCAACAAAACTGGTTTTACATTTTTCCTGCATAAAAGACTCCTCTTCTATCTACCTGCTTCCCTGTGTTATGCAGAAATCTGGTAAGTTTACTCTCCTTGTACTTTTCTTCTATGAAAGAAAAAATGTTTACATATCAAATGGGGAAGGGAGTAGAGAGAATGTACCTAATTGCCTGGCCTAAATTTTAATCTTGAAATTTTGGCATAGAATGGATTTTAGGGATATCTGTTTAGCTGTCCTCTTGAACTTGCTACTTGTGTAAATCAAATAGGAAAGTTTTAAAAGGTTCGATTTAGTCTTTTATCTAAAGATAAACTATTATTCATTAAGTTGACTTACTGGTGCACATAACTGTCTTCTCAAGTTTACAAAGGAGAGAGCAAAAGATAGGTTGGAAAAGCTGGAAAAGTAAGAAAAAAGAATACTGTGCCATGCAAGCAAAAACAAAATGTGTTTTCTTTTTTGTAATAAATCACAAACACACAATTAAAACTGTAGTCTTAATCCTGGAAACAGGAAATGATTATAAAGACTAAAATTTTTCTAAACAGGACTAACTTGAATTCTCTGTCTTACCAAATAGAATGAAATATTATAGTTTGATAAATGTACATATAGCTTGCATAAGCCTCATTTGCACACATACTTAGTTATACAGCTAAAGTTACAGCTTAAATATACTTTTTTACCCTTTGGAACTTTCAGAAAGTTTTGCCTGTTCCCCATCTTGAACATTTTCACAACTATTTCTGAACAATTTCAGTTTACTGCTGCATCTTGACTGTAAAAACTGCTTTAGAAAGCTTGTGTTTTAAAAATCAGCATCTGCTTGAACACTACTAAGTGATGAATGCACACTCCTTTTACTTAAATTTTCTATAGCTTTGCTTCCTCGGAATGTAAAGTCAGCATTACACTTGATTCACAGGTGTCTATTTTAGGAACAATCATAAATATAAGATGAGCTTGGGGTCCCACTTAAGGAACGGTAAGGAAAGAACACACTTTTTTCCTTGCAAAAATTAAATAAAGCCATGCCCATAATGCATATAAAGAGACAACATTCTTGGGGAACACAGTGATCACAAGCACTACTCTGAGGTCAAATTACTTGCAGTAATTCTGTGATCCTCGGCAAGAGTTTTTATTTCACAATAATATAACTCATTCCACTCTATGCCTTTGTAACTTCTGTGGTTGTGCAATTGAATTAAAAATGTGAAAAGAGCGTGAACTGTTAGTGCCACCTTAGTGCCACAAGTACCAGCTACTGTCTCCTGCTTATGTCTCCAGGGTGTCACTGATCCACCACTCTGCAGCTTTGTAAGTGGCATTTTCCCTAAGGGCCATAAAATATAAATATACAGGCTGGAAAACAGTGCATGAGAGAGGAGGAGGTGAAACTGTGAGGTAGCTACAGACACTCTTGCTCCACTGCCTGTCCCACAGGGCCTGAAGCAGGTTGCGGGCTGGGTTAGCTGGACTTCCACATTGTGGAAACTGAGCCTTCAGGAGCAGATAGATCAAACCTGAAAGCAAACAGCAAACCCCAAAACATTGTGCAGTTCATGATCACATTATCTAGTCCAACATCCTGTATAAACTGGCAATTCAAGTTTTATGCACATATTTTTTATTAAAGCCCAAATCTTGTTGGTTTGACTGAAGCACAGCTTGTGTTTTCACTAAAACTTATCTTCCAGAACTGCATCCAGTCTCACTTAGAAAACATTGAGAGTACTGGCTAGTGCCAGTGGGAATTTTTTTCAGAGATTCTCTAGTTTTACCTGTTAGACATTTGATCCCGTTACATCTTTCTTCACTAAAGAGCTGTTCAGTACCCAGTATTGTCTTCTTGACAAGAAACTCTTGCTCTTTCCCCCCACCTTGCTGTCCAGAGTTAACTGTTAAAAGTAAAAATTGATGAGGGAGTCCTGCACCTTTGAAAGGATATTTATAAAGAAGTCCAGTTTTTCTGAACTCAGAAGAACCTTACATCACAGATTTTTGTGTTTTCTTGCCTAGTTTGTTTTGGGTAGTTCTTTTTAAAAAATTTTTCGTAAAATATTGGTGTAAAAGCTGTAAAAAATCTCTGTCTCCTCGGCATTTACTCAGGATCTTAGTATCCTTGGCTCTATTACAGCAACTGTTTCGTTCCTGCTTCATCTCACCATTGCTACTCCTGCTGTTCCACTTGCGCTCACTTCCACCAGCTAATGGCTGAATCTTGTTTTCAAGCATCTGTCCCCTGGGAAACTTTTTTGAACATGGGGTTTAGCATCTGCTCAAGCCTTGCCATCTGGCTGGAGGGGGTGGAGATGGCTCCTGCTTTTTTTCTGGTGGGGTGGAGAGACTACTGAGCTCATGGCTACATAGAGGAGCCTAGTGCCTTCCTTACACCCATTCTGAACAAAATTTCAGCAAAGTTTACCGTAGAGGTGAAGCCAACTCCCAGCTGGCTAAAGGGGATTAAAGGGAGCTGTGAAACCATCAGGTGGGGATGCCGTGGCATCCTGGTCTCCTGGCTTGATTCCGCAGGGTTCCGCCCCCCACTCAGCTCAGTCGCCTCCCGGGACACCTCCCGCCATTTGAGGGGCTCCGTTCTCCCACAGCGGCCTGAGGTTGTCTGCGTTGTGTATAGGTGGCATTTCTACACAAGAGAGAGCAGAAGAAATTCATTGCATCGTGATCCTCCGTGTTTGTTACAATAAATAAGACGCTGTTCTGGTGTCACCTTGGGGGGTTCGCACCTTGAGGTGCCTCTGTCGGGGAGTCCCGGGGCTGTTTGGGAGGGTGGGGGAAAACGTGGACTGGATTCCTTCGGAGTACGGAATGGATTGGAAAACACGGACTGGATTTATCAGGAGTACGGAATGGATTGGAAAACCCGGACTGGATTTCTCCAAAGTACGGAATTGATGGGAAAACACGGACTGGATTTCTCCGGAGTACGGAATGGAATGGAAAACCCGGACTGGATTTTTCCGGAGACTGGATTAAAAAAAAATTAAAAAAAAAATGAAGCGTTGGACTTGATGATCTCAGAGGTCCTTTCCAACCCGTCTGATTCTATGATTCTATGATCACAGAGACTGAAATGGAGTTCAGTATTTTATGGAAAAAAATCAAGTCAAACTGTATAAGAAATTAAGTCTCCTTCTCTTAACGCTATTAAAAAAGTTTTCTGACAAAATTTTCGTGGTTTTTGTCTTTTTTCCTAAAATCAGCACGGCTTGCACCCCACGCCCATGATGAAGTGAACCCAATGCCTCCACGCATCCCTCCTTCCTCGCCGAGCCGCCCGAGCCTCTCCGAAAGCGAGGCGCGGGCTTTGTGAAGGGAGGGATTTTCGCTAAAACAACGGAATCGCTCCGGACGTTTGCCAGCCCGGGGGCGGGGGTCGGTTCGGTTCAGCTCGGGAGGAGCGGGTGGTGCGGGCGGGCGGCCGGTGCGGGACGGCGGCTCCCGCGACGGGGCCGTTCGTGCGGCACCGCAGCTCCCGAGGCGGGCGAGCGGCCGGCACCGCAGCTCCCGAGGCGCCCCGGGCTGTGCGGTCGGTCCAGCAGGGTCCGGACCGCATCTCCCGAGGCGCCCCGGGTAGTGTGGTTGGCCGGCTGGGACTGCACCTCCCGCGGCGCCCCGGCTTGTTCGGCCGGGACTGCACCTCCCGGGACTGCGTCTCCCGCGGCTGCCCGGTTTGTGCTGCCGGCCGGGACTGCACTTCCCGCGGCGCCCCGGCTTGTTCGGCCGGGACTGCATCTCCCGCGGCGCCCCGCGGCGGGGCGGGGCGGGCCGTGCGGCGGAAGGGGCGCCGCTCCCGTCGGCGGCGGGGGCAGCTCTATCCGGGCCCTTGGCGCTCTCCCTTCCTTTCGCGCCGGCGGCCGCTGGAGGCGGCGGGTCCATGTGCGCTCGGCGCGGCCGCGGCCCCTGCCCTCCGCCCCCCGCGCTACCCCCGCCATGGACCCCAGCGGCATCATCGAGGCCCTGCGCGGCACCATGGACCCGGCGCTGCGCGAAGCCGCCGAGCGGCAGCTCAACGAGGTGAGGGCGCCGCCGGGCCTGGGCCGGGGCCGCGGCGCTGGGGAGCGGGGCCGGGGCCGGCCCGGGAGAGAGGGAGCGGGGTGGGGACGCAGAAGGTCCCCCCGGCCCCCCAGCCCGTCCCCCCGCGGCCCCGGGCCCTTCCCGCCGGCCGTGTCCCGGCGGGCGCGGGCCGGGCCCGGCGCGCATTGTCCCCGCACATGGCAGCGGGGCCGGGCGGGGCTGCTCGGGCCGGGGGGCAGCGGCGGAGAGCGGCCGAGGCCTCCGTGCTTCTCCTGGCGGGAACGATTCTTCTCCATTGTCCTGGCGCTCGGCCGGGAAAAGGGTGATCGGCAGAGGGGTGTAAACCCGGCCTTGGTGCAGGCCCGCGGTGGCTCGGGCTGGACCCAGCCCTGCCTGGGACTGTCTAAGGGACATCGGCCTGTGCGTGCGGAAGGCAGGAATTTGTCAGCGGGGAAGGAGGTAGCGAGGTCTGCATCACTTCATGAGCAGCGCAGCCCGTAAGAGTGGCCTGGGCTGAGTTCGGAATCAAATCTGGCAGCCTGGCAGTGTTTGGTGTTCCAGGTCCCCTGGACTGCGGGTTCGGCTGGGCTGCCGAGGTGGGTGTGCTTTCTGGGAGTATGTGGACACGTGTCCAGGGGAAAGACAGGGTTCCCAGCCCAGGTATGTCATGGTTTTAGGCTGCATTCACGTGTCAAACCGGGATATAACAAAACCAGCAGGTCCTAGTTCCACAGGCTTCAATTTTGGAAGAAGATTGTATTTTTTTCCACTTAACCTCACCTGGCAGGGGAAAAACTTTATTGATAAGACACAGCCATGGGACTTGTAGACATTTGGAGAAAAAAAAAGATATTCTAGTGTTTGACTCAGTGAAAAGGAGATGGAGGAGGTGAAGGATAAGCCAGTGTGGCAGCTCATGTGGTGCCTGTAGTTGGCCTTTTCCACAAGCGTTTTTCTTTGTTGCTCTTAAGCAGACTTTGGCCCTGACGATACTAATTTAATGCAACAGATGTTCAGCAGAGCTTAGATAAAGGTGGGCCAAATGTTCTGCTGGCAGTGGAGAAACTTTCAAAAACTGAAAGTATGGCTTCTCAGATTATGAAAAAGTGTAATTAAGCCAAACTCTTGCATGTCATTGAATAAGTGAATGGAAAATAAATATTGGGTACATTTGAAATAGATAGCTGTAAAACTACTCAATGATTAATTGAGGTTTATATAAAGTAATTACTGTCTTTTCCATATACTCCGTTTAAAAGAATGTTAGTGTTTGTTATTTAAATCAAAAATTAAAATAATGTAGTGACCTATAAAGACAGTAATATCAATGAAATCTTAAGCTGGCCCCAAAATGCATTTTTTTGCATGTTCAATGCATGTCTATATATAGTAACTCGCTTGAAATCTAGTTATTTTCTGCAGGTACTGAGTTGCTGAAGGTGCAGGAAATTACCTTCACTGCCAGTTGAGGTCTTCAGCAAATGGCAAACTCTTGCATGAAGGATCGTGCTCGCAGGCAACTGGCTTTTGTGTGCACTTTGGAATCAGAACTCCATGGTCTGTGGTGTACTATACAAGTGCTAAATTGGCATAAAATCCAAATATCTGTGCTCCTTTAAAAACACCAGTTGTTACTGAACCA